ATCCCCCCACCCAAACACACCCAGCCATGCGGAACGTTACCAGAACATGTGGTTTGTGGTGCTGTTCCACAGTCTTGTGTCCAGGATGATCTCATAAATAGTTAACTCTGTTGTTCATTTGTGTTGGTAGCTATCTAATGTTGTACATTGTAGTAATGATGTTTCTTACAGCCATGCGGAGAGGCGGCCGTTACCGGAACATGTGGTTCGCGGCGCTGTTCCACGGTCTTTGGTCCGAGATGCTCGCGTATTGGATCCCGGAGATCGACAACTTCTGGCACGCCCAGTCCTCCATCATGATGCTGGGCAGGAGGCTGCCGCTCTACATCATGTGCATCTGTGAGTACAGAATGGTGCTGTGTACCTGCTGCCAGTATCTTACTTTGATGCACCAATGCACATGTATACATGTCTTTGTTTAAGGTTATCTAATTGTACACTATTATATTATATGATATGATATGATTATAGTGAGTATATTCATGTAAAATAATGAAGACTTTATTGCATAATGCTTAGAATTCTAAAGTTAGCAATAGAACTTAAGATTTAGGCTCTGAACTGGGCAGTATAATTTTATATATTTGTAATTAGGTTTTCCTGACATTCTACGACAACTTTATCTTATGTTGTTTGCCCAAATTTGTTTTCTGTGCACCTAAATGACCAAAAATGAATGTAAGCCATGATTGGTGACGTTGATCCGTGTATAATTCCAGACCCGGTGATCCACTACGTCTCGACGGTTGCTGCCAGTCGGCTGAAGCTCGGGATCTTCCCTACGGCGTACGCGGCAGGGCTAGCGGACTGTGTGTTCTACCACGTGTACGACATCGTCGGGATCAAACTCCTGTGGTGGACCTGGCACGACACGGATCCTAACATCTACGAGAGACACTTTTGGGTGTGTGTTTTTTTTCAGCCCATTGTTTGAAGCATCCACTCCTCCTCATCAACCATTTTTCCTTTGATACTTTGCCTGATTCTTGAGGCCAAGTTTTTTGTTTAATGTCTGAAAATACTTTTGTTAAAGTAACAGAAATCAGAAACAACCAAAACAAATGGACACGACTCATATAGCATATACCAGCTTTCACTCTTGTAATGCTCTGTATATGTATGTTTTTTGTATCATTTATGTCTAAAATACATGTATTATGTGTATGGATCTATTAGGAATTTAAATGACGTAAACCTCAACGGGTCATTTGAGCTTCTCATGAATATAGAGTCTGGTTCAAATAAGCAAACTTATAGTTGCTGTTTATATGTTTCCAGGTCCCTTTTGCCAGTACTCTGTTTCGGCTTACCTTCTCCTCTGCCTTCACTCTTCTGTTCTTTGGGACCCACAAGTGGATCACAGGAAAAAACATGTACCAGACTGGGAGGTGGGTATGGTGTCTTTATCTGTCTGCTTTGTTGTTAGTTTGTAGCATACAACCTCAGAGTGCAGAGCCTCACATTGCCAAGTCAGGTTCCCATTTTACACCTGGGTAGAGTGAGGATAGTCATGTTCAGCACCTCTCCCAGGTACACAGCTTCTGTATCTGTATCTGTGTAGCCGGCATAACCGCCTTTCGGCATAACACACTAGCCCAGCTTCTAGCCAGGGTTCGAACCTGTGACCTCTCGATCTGTGTTTTTTTCACCAGTTTTCTTCAGAAGGCTATCCAACCTCATGACCAGACCACAGCACACAGAATTTTTTACATGATTTCTGTGTTATTATCCCAGTTTCCTTCAGGAGGCCCCTACCATCCTTCTAACTAGCCTCCTTTCGACAACTTACCACTCCCTTCTAAGGACTGCAATCCTGTCCAGTAGTTTTTGCCTATGATGCCCGTGTTGTTTTACCAGTTTATTTATTTTATTCACATGGATTTTTGAGCATAAGATAGGAAGCACTGTCCAGTTTACATGCTCTTTTACCAGATTCTGTGTTGTTTCCCCAGTTTCCTCCAGGAGGCCGCAGCCGTCCTGCTCACAGCTCTCCTGACGTTTCCGACAGCAGTCGCACTTCAAATCTGCATCTGCAATCTCTTGACTTAACTGTTGTTTCACTGGTTTCCTTCAGGAGCCCACTACTGTTATGCAACCTCATGATTTAGAGGCCATCAAGGAGTGTGGTCTGTCCAGTACAGACCCACAGGACAGAGCTAGCGTGGTGTCCAGAACAGCCGACTGCTGCCCACCCCTGGGACAGGGAAACCGGCAGCAGAATAATCTAAACACTGATAGTGAGTGAGTGAGTGAGTGAGTAAAACCACAGCACACCAGATTTTTATATGATTTCTTGTTTTAACAGTTTCCTCCAGGAGGCCGCCGCTGTCCTGCTCACAGCCCTCCTGACGTTCCCAACGGCTGTTGCGACGCACTTCATCCCGCTGTACCACAGCCTGCACGACGCGCTGGGCGCCAGCTCCGAGGTCTGCGTGCTCGCCGTCATCTACCTCTACATCCTCATCGTGTGGGTGGCGGACAGGAACGGGCCGCAGGAAGGCAGGCCTGGGAGGAAAGGTGACGACACACAAACAAACACACGCACAGAGACACATGCACACACACATGCACACACACACATGCACACACACACACTCACGCACACAAACACACACACATGCACACACACACACATGCACACACACACTCACGCACACAAACACACACACACACACACTACACACACGCACTCGCGCGTGCACACACACACACACACGAACCCATACACATATATGTGTATACACACACACACACACACACACAAACCCATACACACATACACACACAAACACACACGAACAAACACACACACACACACAAACATACACGAACAAACACACACAAACACACACACACAAACACACACGCAAGCACCAACAGACACACACACACACACAAATGTACTTACACACGCACATGCACATGAACATGCACACAAACACACACACAAACACACACACATGCACACGTGCACACACACACACATACACACGCAAACTACACACACACAGGTGCACACATGTACACATGTGCACACACATGTACACACACACACAAACGCACACACAAACACACACACACACACACACTACACATGCACAAGCAGACACACACACAGTCCAGCTTCGATGAGGATGTTAGCATCTTTCGTCTACATTCGCGTTGTGTCCTCTGCCATGTTTCATCTGTCTAATCCCACTTGACACAAAGAGAAAGCAGGCTGCAGCATAGAAAAGTTGGCCTTCTAGTTTACTCCTATATTTTGCTTATTTTCTATCACCAGGCAGCCACCCCTGGAAGGACGAGCTGACCGTGGTGGTTCTGCTCCACTTCCTGACCTTCGCCGGACTTTCCGTTTTTGCCAAACCGGAGACGATCATGTCTACCGGGGTCCATGAGCCTGTCGGACCCTGCAACGAGACAATGCAGATGTACAATGCCATCGGACAGGTATGTATTCAATATATAATACTACTCCATCCAATCAGCCTCTCAATACAATCAGATACTCATCTTACATTTACAATCTTTTAAAAAGCTGACAGTTTCCTATGTGGATTTGGTGGGTCATGTTTTACTGGTATTCTTCTTTTTTAATATATAATTTTCTATGTTGACCAAGAGGCACTGATTGTGTCCATAACAGTTTACTAATTCAGTGGCTAATCAGTGCATGGCTCACTCTCCCAAGAGTTCATGTCGATGGACTTGGAAGGACTGCAGGCCACTGTTGTTCATGATGCCCTGGACACGAGACATAAAAACCCAAGACACTTGTTTTCTTAGAAGTCTGAAATCCCCAATTTCATGCTGTTGTAACAGATATTATACATTGTAAACAGTTGGCATGGTTGAAATTGAAATGTGAGGCATTTTTCCCACTTTTACAGGTGTATCAAAGAGGAAGTTGGTTACATGTATGGGGGTCCGCAAGCCCTTTTCCGTAGGGCGTAATCGGCCGTTTCAATTCTACGTAGAGCGTAGACGGACCGCTCTAATATTTTTGCATAGAGTGTATTCGGCGTTTTAATTCCACGCAATGCGTTGTAGCCACTTGGAATTTATCATAAAGCGTAATCAAGAGGTTTCCAAATTCAGCGTAGAGCGTTGTCGGGACCCCCCTTGCAGGCCCTCATGTATATGTAAAACATTTTTCCCACATTTATAGCTTGTATCAAAGAGTAAGTTGGTTATATGTGAAGCATTTGTTTCCCACATTTATAGCTGGTATCAAAGAGGAAGTATCTGTGTCACACCACACTCAAATATGAATGCACTTAGTAGTAGTCTTACTGAATTCATCATTGGTATAATACAGATCTACATAATTTTTCAGGAGAAGGTAAAAAGGTATCGTCATGGAAAATATTTTTTATGATAATTCAAAAAGAAAATGTTTTGATCATTTATAGCTCGTATCGAAGAGGAAGTACCTGTGTCCCACGGACTATGATGAGGGCTACATGGATTTCCACTGTTGAAGTTGGTTAATATATGTAAAGTATTTCCCCACATTTATAGCTCGTATCGAAGCGGAAGTACATGTACCTGTGTGCGAGTGACTATGACGAGGGCTACATGGATTTCCACTGTTGATGTTGGGTAATATATGTAAAGTATTTCCCTACAGCTGGTATCGAAGAGGAAGTACCTGTGTCCCACGGACTATGACGAAGGCTACATGGATTTCCACTGTGTTCCCGGTGGAGCAGCGCCCCCTGGCGTGCACCACTGGTACAGCGTGTGCGGAACGCCCCACTGAGAACCACGCGGAGCACATTACTGTGGTGTGGGGCTTCTGTCTGCTGGGCCTCACCTACTACTACAACCTGCTGGCCTGCTCGGGCCTGGATGAGCCTCCGGCCAAGAAACACAAGACTAATTAGAAGAAAGTGACACTGTCGAGCTGCTTTTCTTGCTATCCCATCTTGTCTATGCCTTAGTCTAATCATTTGACCTTAGGGTCACCACAGATGATCTGACAACCAGTTTTCTCCGAC